CTTGTAAGAGGCCCAACTGTGCCATTTTTTGAACGTTTGTCACGTTTGGCGATTGGTGTTGTTGTCAAAGTGTAGAAAGTCACTGCGGGATAGTATGTTCCGATCGATCAGCTGCCAATAACAGGAGTATACGTTGGCAACCATTATCGGTGAAGCAGACTGAACCAAAAAGAACAGGGATTACGAAGAAAGTACGACAAATAACAGGGGAAGGCGTGCGTTATTTGAAGTAGAGAATATACAACAAGCTTACTTCGACTGGAGCTGCAGAGGCGAGTATCCAAAAAGCGAAGTGGACGAGTGAAACCGTTGAAAGCGATGGCACCGCTTAGAACCGATCCCTCAGCTCCAGGACGACCCACAACGAGGAAGGCAGATTGCTCTTTAACCACGTTGTTTTTAATAATTGAAATATAACTTGACCTTGATGTTACAAAATTTTACGTTTAGCATTCAGAATCGTGCGCTGAATTTCTTGGAAGCGGTGATCATAGCGCAATCGTGTAAACCAGCCACTATGGCCGAGTTTAAGCCGGAAGAGATGTGTCTGAACCTGGTTCCCAGGGATCACCGCTTTATCAGCTACCGGCGGTTGGAGGCAGAGGCCAAAACGTTGTTCTTGAAACTGCTTCAGTTGCTGTCATCACAAGTGTCGAGGTATGAGGTAGCATTGCACAGCTGTCATTACTACTGAGTACGCTTGAAAGTTTCAGCATGAACCTGACATCAACGATGCAGAGCCTGACGCGTGTTGCCAAGAGGCGTCCGGAATTCATCGAAAAGGTGGTGCTCGCGTTTGAGACGATTCATGGTATAGAATTCATACTTGTTTATTTCGTTAGCATCATCCGGTTACCGCGTTTTTTCATTGTTTCAGTAAACCTGCCACCGAATCTGGCCAGGTCGCAGGTGTGCTGTGTGCGGAAACTGCTTAAATCGCAACTGCTGGGGCTCTTGAAGCATCATGCATCATCTGAGTATCAGGTGCAGATCACGACCTTGCTGACTGACTTGGGTGCGACTCAAGTCCAGGTATAATACAAATAAATACTCATTTAATTGTAGAGGAGGAAATTGGACGGTTCCCTGTTCAACGAACCGTTTTTGGTTTGTGACCATTCTCAACAGGCTAGCCTCATTATCACCCTCGGCCGTTTTCGATCCGCTGCTGAATGAAGGCTTCTCCAAAACTTCTTCTGTTTTCTGTTGTTTATGCCCAACTTGATCCAGTGAACATTTTCAGCTCATGCTGCATAGATCCCAGTCTTCTTGCAGACTCTTTGCTCTCTTTTAGAACCTCATGTAAGTCCTTTGAGCTATCATTCCTTTGTGTAAATTTGCACTGCTTTTTCTGTCGTGTTTGTTACTGCCTGCCTTTGGAAGAGCTGTAAATTTGTCCCATCTGAACAGGCAAGATCACATAAGCAAATCTGTTGGACTCAGTAGGCATTCGTTGACGTAGGTTTGTTATGTTTGAACCGACCGAATGTACTTTATTCTCTTTATGTAGTACAGTTATAACAGTTATAACTTGAAGATTTCGATGTTTTTTTTGTTATTGCGATGTGGTAACGGCGAGGAGTAGAGTGTGACGACATACTTAAAGTTATATTAAATGTAGTCCACTATTTGTACGTAGTGTTGTCTGTCCGTGTTGATCCCAGTGACAGATTGCATGACTGATATGATAAATGTCAAGTTGGAAATGCTAATGTTATGCTAATTTTCCTGACAGCAACCATTGTATCCAAATATTTCTTATTTAAGATGAGATTTGTTTAATTCTCCTTCCGCCAACCGGGTAATTCTTGCGGTAGAATGTCAGACCTGCAGTAGAAAGGTTATTCAACTCTGTCCGGGTTTACTGGCCTTTCGCCCTTCCTTCAAGTGTCACTATGTGGGAAGAAAATGGAAGGCGGTACTTTAGAACAGCCGCCTGCCTGTTAATGTTGCCTTCAAGCACACTTGATATCCTGGCTGATATCGGTGTTTTGCCATTATTGTCATGACTGCAGTGCTCCAGTGGTATTTGATCATATGAAAAGCTGACATTTCGCAGTTGTAAACAGTTTTCACAAACAGTTTTTCCCTCGGTTTCTAGTTTTCTCGAGTTTCCAAGAAAGTGACTTGTTACTAGTTCATTGCTCAGTTGTTGAAGGTATTTGTCAGAACCTTGAATCGTTGCGTTGATGGAGTAACGTTGGAATATGCTAACTGCCCACTGGCTGTGTGATTCCAGGTATTAAAGGCTCTTCCGTCAGACAGCGATCTGCGCAAAAGGATGCTGAAAACGGATGATGAAGATCGCGATGCCGTTTCGTCGTCGGAGTCTCCGCTAAAACGAACGAAGACCGAAGAGCGGGACGATGAGGAAGATGACGAAGACAGTGAAGAAAGTCGCCGAAACAGCGCCATCAACATCACCACCGAATTTCTGTACCATCGGCTGACCCCAGAAAATGTGACCGACCTTGTGTTGGTGACCATGGTGGTTTTACCTGACACGATGCCGCCGCTGTTTCAGTCCAGCTATACACCGATTGCGGCTGCAGGCACTGAGGTCAGTGAGCGAGTCTCGTT